TAGTACATACTCATGGTTAAAAAAAAAAGGTAAATAAATAAATGGGGAAAATATAAAAAACAGAGTGTAAAGAAGAAAATGAAAAGCACCTGGACTGTGGTCCTTGGAGCTAATCACTGTTGATATTTTGGAGGAACGGAGATTACATGCACATACCATTTTCTTTTCTTCCTTCTCACTGAATGTGCAATGAGCATTTTCTCATGTCATTACTCCTTGTAAACCTGTTCAGAGGCCTTGTTCCACAATATTGTGTAGCATAATTTATTTAACTTGTTTCTAGTTGTTAGACATTCAAGCTGCTTCCCTTTTTTTCATATGCAAAAGCAGGATACACGCTGGGAACAGTGGTACACGCCTGTAGTCTCAGGCCTGCAGACACTGAGGCAGGAAGATTGCAAGTTCAAGGCCAGTCTCAGCAACTTAGGGAGACCCTGCCACAAAATAACATAAAAGTTCTCAAGAAAGGAAGAAGGAAGGATGGGGCATCTTTCTGTTTTTTTGGTAGGGATTGAACTCAGGGGGCACTTAGCCACTGAACCATGTCCCCAGCCCTATTTTGTATTTTATTTAGAGACAGGGTCTCACTGAGTTGCTTAGTGCCTCACTTTTTCCTGAGGCTGGCTTCAAACTTGCAATCCTCCTGCCTTGGTCTCCTGAGCCTCTAGGATTACAGGTGTGTGTCACCATGCCTGGCACACTTTTTATATTTTATTTAGAGATAGAGTCTTGCTGAATTGGTTAGGGCCTCACTAAGTTGCTGAGGCTGACCTTGAATTCATGATCCTCCTGCCTCAGCCTCCAAGTCACTGGGATTACAGGTGTGCATGCTCAGCAGGATCATGCATCTTCATGCACAAAGTGCCTCAGGGCCCCATCAGAGTGCCAGGCTGGGGGACCCTGGGGGCTCTAGGCCCAGATGGCATACATTAAGACCAGTTGGAGGAGAAGTTTAGAGGCCTCTGGGAGCCAGATCTTAGACTCCCAGAGCGTCAGGAGATGGGCAGGAGAGGGAAGGACTGGGACTCAAGCAGCACAGGGGGACTGAAAGCCTGGAGGTGTGGCAGGGCTCTGCACCCATCTGAGAGTAGAGGTCTCGCTTTTCCCTTGCCTCCCCCAACCCGCCCAAGGGTGACAGTGGGAGCCATGACGACCCTGAATCTCTCTGGGTTCTGAATGTGCTCATCCATTCCTGACTCTTAAGTGGAAGCCACAGGTGGGAATTCACTTCTGTGGGGCTCTAAGGTCATGGGACCAAGGGATGTTACTGCCACAGTTGACCTCAGTGACCACTTCCTCCAATCCCTTATGGAAGAGACTCAAAGGTTTGAGGGACCAGGGCTGAGGTTGTGGCTCAGTGGTGGAAAACTTGCCTAGCACATGTGAGGCACTGGGTTCAGTCCTCAGCACTGCATAAAAATAAATAAAGAAAATAAAGGCATCGTGTCCATCTACAACTAAAAAAAAAAAAAAAAAAAAAAGATTGAGGGACCAGTCATCCCAGTGGCTCAGGAAACTGAGGCAGGAGAGTCACAAGTTCAAAGCCAGCCTCAGCAACTTAGCAAGGCCCTAAGCCACTTAACAAACTAAAAAATTAAAATAAAAAAGAGCTGGGGATGTGGCTCAGTGGTTAAGTGCCCTTGAGTTCAATTCCTGGTACTAAAAAAAAAAAAAACAGCCAATTGCAGGCAGACCAGGAATGGAACCCCTGTGTACCTGGCACCTAACCATGAGCCCTAAGGTCACATGCTCTTCAATTCCACCCCTGTGGGTCACATATGCTTGGAGGAGGAAGCGCACTGCAGTGCTCAGAAGATGACTTTGACCTACTGGGAATCTGCCCAGAGGAACCTGGCATAAGCCTAAGTCATGAGCCTTGGCCAGGAACACCTCTGGTCCAGGCCTGCAGAAAGAGGCTCTCTCTGCAGGAGTCCAAGGGGATCCTTGCATTTTTGGACCCCTAAAGGGGAAAGGAGAGGCCCTGTATCTGTGAACCCTATCAGCAGTGACCCAAGGGTCTGGGGGTGTAGCACAATCGTAGAGCACTTACCTAGGACGCTTGAGGGTCTGGGTTCAATCCCTAACACCATAAAAGGACCCAAGAAGAAGAAGAAGTAAACAGCGCCCTGAGCCTGCACACCCCATCCCTGCAGATGGGGAGGCTTTTGCCACAGCTGGGTAACAGTCACGTGAAACTCACAGCCGGTTAACACAGCAGCAGGGCCCCCAGGCATGCGGCAGCCCAGCTTCTCCAGCACCATCTGCGCCCTCAACATGAGGATTCAGGTCCTTGGGCCACATCTCCTTCTCTGTGCTCCTCACAATTCTCTGTCAAACATTCTTAGAATTCCTCATGGAGATTCAGAGCTCAGGGCCATGGGCAGCCTCTTCTTGCTTCACCCCTCCTTTGTGACAGGTCAGCCAGGGGAGCCCGGCACCCCATGGACATGCCCTAGTCTTCTGGCCCCCTCTCCTCCCTTCACTCCCCTCTTTGTCCCCACTATCTAGGCATTATTTCTGGAGCAGCTCTCAGCCTTCAGATTCCTTATGAACCAGTTTTATAGAATCCAGCCACTTCCCTGGGCAAACCATTTGCTAGATTTTACTGGTACTTTTTAATTTGTTTGTTTGTGTATTTATTGGTGCCAGAGATTGAACCCAGGGGCACTTAACTACTGAGTCATATCCCCACCCCACCCACCCCACCTTTTTTTTTTTTTTTTAACTTGTGATCCTCCTGCCTCAGCCTCCCAAATTCCTGGGATTGCAGGAGACCTGCTTGTCAGTGCATTCTTGATAGGGGCTGGGATTTGGGAGGGGGACCAGATAAAATTATCTCTGGAGCAGAACTCCCTTCTTTCCTTTTAGCATTAGTGAAGTGGCTGCCAGGAGACCAGAAAAGGCCCTGGTGGGTGAAGCCCAGGCACAAACACAACAGCCTCTGTCACTAACCTACATCACACTGTCACCTCAGCCATTTCTTGCCTGTAATCCCAGTTACTCAGGAGGGTACTCAGGAAGTTAAGGCAAGTTCAAGGCCAGCTTAGGCAACTTTGTGAGACCCTGTCTCAAAATTAAAAAAAAAAATTAAAAAGGGCTAAGAGTATACATACATACACACACACACACACACACACACACACTCGCACACAAAGACAACCTGGTGGGGTGGACAGGGATTATCATGCAAACTTTACAGATGAAGAATCTCAGAGGGGACTGGCAAATTCACCCAAGCCATCAGGGCCAGGACTAAATTCCTATCTTCAGATAGAAGTCTGGGGCAGGCCACTGTCCAATCACCCTCCAGCATCGTGAGGGACCCAGAGAAGAGCAAGAGGTCCCTGAGGCTACCTGGCCTGCTCCTCCCCTCTCTCCAGCCCTCACGTCCACCTGCCCCACCCCAGAATGCCTGAGTCTGTGGTAGACACACTTGAGGGCTGCTTTCCCTCTTTAAGCCAGCCTAGCACCTACCATGAGCCCAGGAAGGAGGGCAGGCAGCCTGGAGTAATCTACACTTCCTGCTGGATGTAGAGGTCCAGAGCTCCGCAATCAGGAGGCCCTGCCTTAAATCCTGCAGGAACTTCCCAAAGCTAAAATTTGCCTTAGAGGGGAGATTAACTTCAGCTGCAACTGGGACTATACTCTGGGGGAAGCATCCTCCTCTAGGAAGACCTAACAGCTCTGAGCATGGATCATGGATCAAACTAAGTGTGATGCCTCTGACCCCAGAACAAATCCTTCCTCAACCCCAACTCCTCCCTGCCACCAAGTCCTTCCAATATCTCCCAAGGCCATCAAAATCGCCTTTTCTCCATCTCCACCACCACTGAATCCCTTATGGCTTATCTGAAGCCATAAGGAAAGCCTCCTAATACTGTCAGGTCAGCCATCTCCAACCCACTCTACATAGAGAGCCACGGGGAAGCCTTCAGGAAATAAATGTCAACCCTGCTGAGAACCCAGCAGCACCCTTAGACCTCAGCAGAGCTGCATAGCCTGAGCCCCAAGCCCCATATCATGCCTCCCCCTGTACCCTGAGCCACACTAGCCTTCTCCAGGGTTCTCATCCCAATCATCCTTTGTCCAGTCAAGGAGTCTCTGCCTATGTTCTTCCCTCTGCATGGAATATGTTCCAACAGAATGCCTAAGATAATCAATGTAAAAAGAGGAAAGAATCATTTTTGCTCATGGTTTCAGAGGCTTCCATCCATGATCTATTTATTGGCCCCGTTGCTTTGAGCCTGTGGTGAGGCAGCACATCATGGTGGGGAGCACATGGTAGAGCAAGCTGCTCACCTTATGGTGTCCAGGAAGCAGAAAGGAGAGAGAGGGAGAGACTGGCATCCCACAGCCCCCTCAAGGGCATGCCCCCAATGACCTAAAGTGTCCCACTGAGCCCCACCTCTTAAAGGTTTCTACCACCTTCCAAAAAAAGCAGAGCTGAGAACTAAGCCTTAACACACGGGCCTTTGGGAGTCATTTCAGATCCAAATTCTAGCACCGTCCCACTCACCCTGTTAGCCTGCACTCCTCCAGAACGCAGCTCCAAAGCCTTTCCTGCATCTCTGTTGGTTCTGTCCAGTTTGAACACCCACCTGCCGGTCTTCTCATTTAGAACAGAGATGATATTTTACAGCTGTCTTCTGCACCTGCCTCTAAGCTCCATGGAGACAAAGTGGGCATCCTTCCTTTCCCCTGCTTCTTTCCTTTCTCACCACTGTATCCCCAGCAGCTGGTACAACATCTGGTTGGTGCTCAATAAATATGTGTTTAGAGGATAAATGAGTGAATCAACTCTCTGAGGTGAGTATGCTGTTATCCCCACTTCACAGACACAGAAACTGAGGCTCTGGGAGTAGCCAGCTCAAGGTTCCATAACTGACAAGTGGCAAGCAGGGGAGAGCCAAGTCAGAAGGCACAGAGCGCATTCGGAGCCACTTCAGGTCCTGCATGAGGTGCCTCGGCCTCAGTGTCTGTCTATCTTGCTCTCCCAACAGGCTCTGCGAGGGCTGTGAGGCTGGCCCGGTGTCCCCTGCCTGGCAATTGCCCGCAGAACTATGGAGAGCCTGAGTGAACTACAGAACCCACTGCTGCCTGGGAGCCCCGCCCACCTCCGCAGCCCCGCCCACCTCCGCAGCCCCTATCCCTACGCAGAGGCCCCGCCCAGCTGGTCCTACCAGGAGAAGCTCTACTCCTACCTCCTGGGTGGTGCTGGCCCTGCTCACACCCACCAACTCCTGGACCCAGGGTCCCTGCAGCTGGCTGTGGAGGCCTGGTATCGGCCCAGCTGCCTCTTGGGAAGGGACAAGGTCAAGGAGCCCCGGGCAGGCAGCTGTGAGACCAGCTTCACAGAGGCCAAGGAGCCCCAGGCAGGGCCCACAGAGCAGTGCACGGAACCTGGCCAAGCTGAAGAGGATGTCACTATCCATACTGTGTCCTACGGGGTTCAAGAGGAGCTGCAGGGCCAGGAGGACAGCCAGGAGGAGGAGGAGGTGAGCAGATGTGTTTAAGATGCAGACTCCCAGGAGCAGAGGCAGATTGAACAGGCTTGGACGATGGCCCAGGAATCTGTTTGCCACCAAAGGAAAGGTTCTTCTGACCCAGGTGCAGCCCACACTTTGAAAAACACTAGCTTAGCTGGGCACCGTGGCACACACCTGTAATCCCAGTGACTCAGGAGGCTGAGGCAGGAGGATGGTAAGTTTAAGGCCAGCCTCAGCAACTTATCAAGACCATGTGTCAAATAAAAAATAAAAAGAGTTGGGAATGTAGTGCAGTGCAAAGGTAACCCTGGATTTCATCCCCAATACTGAGAGAGAGAGAGAGAGAGAGAGAGAAACATTAGCTTGTGTTGAATATTAAGACAAGTGATAAATGACAACTACTTATCACTCAAAAACAACATTATTATTTTGATGGATGATTGTCTAAATCTCTTTTTATTCATATGGGTTTTTTTCCTCTTCACCTTTCCCCCAAAGAGATCTTTCTATACATAGTTTCATAGCCTGTTTTTTCAATATTGCTCCATATAATTTAATATTTTCCACAAGGTGTTTTTTAAAGTTGTGTGGTCTTCCTTATGACTTCTTCTATCATGTATTAACTCAATCTCCTGGTCACTGGGCATTGAGAGTGTTTCTCATCTTTCACACAATTGCTATGCTATGATGAACATCCCTGGATACAGAGACTTGCATTTTCCTGGAGATAAATTCCCAAGAGTAGATTCAGGTCTGTCAAGGCTTTTGGTAGAGCTGCAAGACCAACCTACACTCCCTGTCACTCCACATCATTGCCCTGGATAGTACCTTTTTTTATTTCTTTCGAACCCTTGCCAGTCTGACAGGGCTGGGGTGACCCCACTGTTCCACAGAGTGAGGCAACCTCCACAGAGAGTGAAAGTGAAGACAACTTCCTCACGCTGCCTCCCAGGGACCACCTGGGTCTTACTCTCTTCTCCATGCTCTGCTGTTTTTGGCCACTGGGCATCGCTGCCTTCTATTTCTCCCAGGGGGTAAGTACACCTGGGGCCCAGGGCTGCTTCTCTGGCCACCTTTCCCCACTGGAGGGCTTGACACCCTCATCTGCAGAATGGGGTCCTGGTGGGCTGGACTGTTTTGTGGGTGTGAGGCTGCTCCCTTACATCAGCACGTCTCTCTCCCTAGACCACCAAGGCCATCTCCAAAGGGGACTTCCGCCTGGCCAGCACCACCTCCCGCCGGGCCCTTTTCCTGGCCACACTCTCCATCGCAGTGGGGGCTGGCCTCTATGTGGCTGTGGTGGTAGCTCTGGCAGCTTACATGTCCCAGAATGGCCATGGCTAGTGGCCAGTAGAACCTGCATCCTGATTCCCCTGGTCTACCTGAGGAAGCTGCGGGGCTTGGGGCTGCAGACTACCGAGAGTCCTGGCCCCCAGAACCGTGAACGTGGCGTGCAGAGCTCAACCTTCACTTCTTCCCACCCATTGCTCCCAGCCTCGGAGCAGGCCAGGACCACTGATAGGAAGCAGAATCAGGGCTGCCCACCCTGCCTACCAAGGCCTAGCCCAGCCCATTCTGCTCATTCTTTATAGGGTCCCCCACCCTGCAGGCAGCCCACCAGCTACTCACCAGCTTCCCCACAGAGAAAGGGCAGGAGGTTCCAGGGAAGGAAAGGGGTTGCCAGGGGACAGGAGTCCTGACCTAGTCCTTTTAGCCCATCGGGGTCTTCACCTGGGGACAGCTTGAACAGCTTCTCCCAAGTCTACTCTCTGGCCCCATGATGCCCCAACCCAGTCAGCCAGGAAGGAAAAACATGGAGACGAGGTGCACTGTCTGATTCTGGGAACTGTTTGTCTCCCCTGTGAGCAAGTAAGACACTAGACCCTGGATAGAGAAGGGAGTCTCAACATGAACCAAGGGCAGGACCCTGGAGCTGCAAGAACAAAAGGCAAATGCAAAGGCAGAGAGACCTAGGGCCCTGAAACACTGCTGGACCTCACGGGCCTCCCCCTGTGCGCCAGTTCCCCACTCCCACCATCCTTTCTGGGCTTTGCCTGGGGGGTCCGAAGCTGCTGTCCTCCCAGGGAGACTAAGAGAACATGCCCTGAGCCCAGCCACAGGGCACAGAGCCCTAGGTCCAGCCTGCAGGAAAGATGGCAAGGAAAGGGAGGATGAGTCTAGAGGAGAGGAGGGTCCCAGGAGAGGGGGTGCTGAGGAGCCAGCCGAACTCAGGAGGATCTTTCCAGAGGAGGGGTACTCTGAGCAAGGCTCAGAAAGATGAGTAGAATCCTCCTAAGGGAATTGTTTCCACATAACTCCTTGTCTTGGTGGGCAGGGCTGTGGCAAGGGCCCCCCTGGAGTTTCCAGGCTATTTAGATGCTGCCTGAAACATTCAAGCTGGAGCCAAATGGCAGCCATTTCTGAGTACTCTGCCAACATGAGGAACAAGGTTGAGCTGCTCTCTCAAAGACCAGTCATGTTTTCTCATCTCTGAATGCTGGGGGTTCAGTGGTTGGGCCCCTGGCCAGGCTAGGGGCATTGTCACTGATATATCAGGGTTGCTCTTGACACCTGCCTCCAACCCCCACCCATCAGGTAGACAGGCAGGCAGCACCTCGGGAAGGCAGGCCCCTGGGGGCTCCAGTTACAAGATGATTGCCGCAAGACTTGAGGAATGTGGTTATTCCTGTGCCCCGTCCAGAGCTCAGATGGGGCCATGGCTCTACCCCCCACCAATCCTTGTCCCACATCTTCCCTTACATTATGCATCACCCAGCCCTCCAATCCCTGCAACACTGGCAGTTTTAATCCCCCTTATTGTATTTATTTATCCTGAAATAAACTTTTCTGTAACACCTGGTGCCCTCTGGGCCTCTTACTGTCCTCGCCTGTGGCCACCATGCCCGAATCCCATGTTCCTCCAGTATTGACCTCCATCATCATCTCTGCTGCTTCTGACCTCCAGCAGCCTCTGGAGAGGACAAGCCCAATTTGGGCTCCCAGGGGAGGGGTGACCAGAGGCCCTGCCAGCCCAGGATGTACTCCTCTGGATGTAGGCAAATGGCCTGGATAGGTAAGACAAGGCAGGATCTATGCCTGGAGAAAAATCCCTCATAGGCTCAAGAGCCTCAGAGAGCACTTGAAGGAATGTGAGCTGTAAGGGTCCACAGAATTGCCTGGAGCTGCCAAGGGTGGACATAGGGTGTAGGGAGCCAACGGCCCCTTTCCCCTGCTGTCTATTCTTGCGCCCCCCATATCTTCCATCCCAGGAGCTGTTCCTGCTGCAGGTGGTTAGGAAGCTATCTCTACCTGCCTCAGGCTCTAGCCTCAGCAGCAAAACCCCAACATCTTCTTAGACCTGGACCACCTTGCTCCTGCCTGGGTCAGCAGAGGAACTGGCCTGGCCTTTAGACCACTGAGTATGGGAGACCTGGGCAGGTAGGTTATGCACAGCATGCACTCTGTGTGCACCTACTTGCACAGCTCTGCACTTCTGCACACTCACACACATATGCATGTGTACACGTGCATGCACACCATCTGGGTTGGGTGTCCCTGGAAAAGATTAGTAAGCAGTATACACTTATGGAAGGGTAGTCTGGGCAGAGGATGAGGTCACCTGTGACACAGTCTCAACTTACAGCCTGGGCCAACCCTTAGAAGAGCCAGGATGCCCTTCAGAGTTGATACAAGGCAGAGCAAAGGGCCGAGTCTTTCTACCTTTTTATCCATCAGTCACTGGATGTGGGCCACCCGAAAGGGGTGTGACCTTGAGCAAGGCACCTTTATTCAGCTGCAGTGACAACCCCCCACTCCCACCCCGCCAAGGGAACTTGTCCTGCAGCTGTTCACTGCCAGCACCTACAGCAGCTGGGGAGCTGTCCATCCTTCCTGAAGGGCCCTGGGTGCCACATCACTGTGTCCACCTCATCCCACACTGAGCAGATGTGCCAGTGTCAACCCAGATCTCCTCTGCCCTTCCCTCTGCACACTGAAAGCCACTTCCAGGAGACTCTGTGACACGTGGCCAACAGGCAGAAAAAGTAGAAAATACAGGAGAAATAACCCAGGCTCCAGCCAATGGCCAATGCAGGGAGGTGGGTAAATAGCCTTGATGTCTTGCCCCTTGGGTGGGAGAAGACCAGTCCGATTCCACACCGGTTCCCAGAGGTCCACAGCAACAGTCTGATCAGCAACCTGCCCCTCCCTGCTGCTGCTTCTGTCTTCCTCCCCACTTCTGCTTGCTGGTGTCACCTCCCGGTAAACTACCTGCCAGTGAACCCTTTTCTCACGGTTGGCTTTGTGGGGAGCCCAAACCCAGGCACACAAGTATGTTCACACTCACCTATGTGCACCTGCTTGCACACATATGCACCTACACAGACAGACCTGTATCAGCATGCACAGCCACTCAGCTATGTATGCCTTCATTCACAGACGCCGCCCACACGTGCACAAAAACTGCAGGAGCCCGGGCACCAGAGCACCCATTGTGCAGGGGTAAGAAGGGGGCGTGGCGGTTGAGCAGTCTCACCTGGTCCCCTGCTCTGAGGCCTCACCCCATCACCAGGCACTGCCCAGTCCAGGCTCTGCTTGGGCTAAGCGGACTCCTCACAGCCCAGCAAATTCCCACCTCCTTCCCAGCCCCAGTATGTTATGCCAGGCCTTGAGAAGACGAAAGCCAAGTGATTTTGTATTTGATTTGATTTGTATTTATTTACTTTTGAGGTGGGGTCTTGCCATGCAGCTCAGGCTGGTCTTCCACTCCTGACTCCGCAGTTCAAACCTTCCCACTGCTCAGCCTCCAGAGTGCAGTGTCACCTGGCTTGATTTACTATTTCCATCCCTTTCACCTCCCTCCCCACTCTCAACCGCAAATCAGGTACTACAGGAGAAAAAGGGATCAGAAACGGGGCCCTGGAGGCTTCCCCTGCCCACCTCTACCCCCTGGGAAGGACCCGTCCTGTGGAGCCTGGGCTTGTTCTTCAGTTCTTGGAGCACAGGCTCAGTGACACTCTGGGCGCCTGGCTGAGGCCTGCCTCTGGCTTGCCTGGGGCGCTTGAGGCCTCCTGCTTCCCAGCTCTGCCTGTGCCTCCTGCCTGAGGCTCCTGGGAAGCTGGGGGGGCTCCAGTCCCTCCCCTTCAGGCTGGCTCCTTGGGCTGGCAGAGAGAGGCTGGGGGCAGGGAGGGTCCCCTGGGTATAGGTGCCCATGATGAGCTGCAGTGCCAGCACATCTGTGCAAATATTACCAATTATTTTGCTCACTATAAACACCCAGCAGGAAGGCAGGGAAGCAACCAACCCAAACTGTTTAAAATAGAAACCGAAATTGCCACACAGGGAAGTCGGGGCAGCCAACAGAGCAGGGGCCTTGCACCAAGAATCCAGAGTCCCCCGCCTCCAGCTGCCCTCAAATGGTACCTGTTCCCACTGCCCCCCACCTCCCAACCCCACCACCATGCTCTCCTCCACAGCCAGGCAGGAATAAGATGGGCAAGGTCCTCACCTGGATGATGGGGGACTTAGGGAGGGGTGCCGAGCAGTATGCTGGGCTGGGAGGCCAGGGACTGAGCAAGATGGACACAGAGAACAAGGAGCTGAGGCCACCTAGTCTGTGGTGGCCAGCTGCAGGGCCAGTTCTTGTCCTGGGTAGGCCACAGGGCCAAGGGTGCCATGTGGGAAGGAATAAGGAGACAAAGTCCCCTTCATTGAACCCCAACCCCCCGGGGAAGAAGGGGTGTCCTAGGGTGGCAGGCCAGGGCCCGCAGCAGGGGGCTAGGCAAAGCAAGGACGCTGACCTGTCCCCATTTTGAATAAAAGGAATTTTTCTGATGGCGGAAATGACTAGAAACCAACTCACGAGGCCTGGGCAGCCTTCTCTGACCCTCCCTCCCCACAAACAAGCCGATGGACAGCAGGTCACGGTACAGTCACACGGGCTGTCAAGTCAGTGACATACTTCAATGCAGTTAATAAATAGACCCCCTCCTGCACCAAATCCTCCAAATAGTTCCCTTTCTGCTTTCCTGGCTCCTCTCTAGGACCCCCAGCCCTCCCCCACCCCAGAATGAAGGGTCAGCTGCTGCCACAGCAGCCCCTCCCCAAATACATTGGTTCCTACTAGAACTGAACTATTATTTAAATATCCCCAATGTCACCCTGCCTGCTGGCCCACGAATCCGTCCGCTGTCCTGCGCTCACAGCCTCTCCCCTTCCTGGAGAAGCTCCCCAAGCAGGGGCTCCGGGCAAAGAGCCCTCTCTTGTGTACCCTGTATCGCTGCTGCTTTCCAGAGATGGTGTCAGCACATGTCCTGGCTCAGCCAGGCCAAGGCCCGCTCAGAGGGTGATTGTGAGTGGATGGTGCTGGGGCAGAGGGCAGGGCCAAGACCTAGAGCACATGAATCCTGGAAAATTGCAGCACAAGGAATCTCAGAGGTGAGCAAGCCAGTCCCTCA